TTAACTGGCAGTTGACTTCTGACTTCAAACTACCGTGACCCCACTGTATGTCATATTTGGCCACTTTCACAGTATTCATTTTACCTTTTCCTCTACCTTTGTGCCTGTCTCTTCTACATCATGGAAACACTCTTCTGTTCATCCCCCCCCCCTACTCTCGACTTTTTTTCGCTTTGATGTTCCTCCCCTCTATGAGGCCTGAAGTCAACTAAAGGGCTAATGATAACTATCAAAACGCCTGCCATTTGATATAAATAAATATTTCAGATGTGGGGTCTGCGATAGACTTGCCTCCACGTGATGAACCCTGGGCAACGTATACTCTTACGGCAAAAAAGTCTATAAATCGGCAGTTGACTTTAAACTACCATAACTCGACAATATGTCATTATACCACTTCCACAGTGCCCACCTCGCTTTAACTTTTTCGCTACACTTCTGACTGTCACTCTTACATCCGTGAATCACTTTGCTGTTCCCTTCTCGAAATTTCATGGCTTTGATGTTCTTCCTCTCTGTGAAGACCGAAATTGACTAAAGAGTAAATGATATCTATCAAAGCGCCCACCGTTATTTATAAATAAATAATTCAGATGTAATTTATCTGCTTTTGAATTGCCCCATAAGTAAGGGTTCAATTTAACTCCTCAATTTGACATGATTAAAAGACTTTCACTAAAATCAACTTCCTGATATATAAATGAACCGAAGTAGCATGAAAGTTAAATCGGTTAAGTCAACTGGTCAATAAATACTGAATTTCGCAGACGTGAATTCAATAACGAAACAAGATGTCGAATTAAGGATCAATTTCACATTATTTTAGCACAGTTGGGCACCAAAATATTTATTCTTACAAAATTCATTATGGTACTTCTGTTCAAGGACCAATTTCTGAGAACTAGGAGTACCGATAAGGTCGTAACTGTTCAAAGGACTAATTGAGGTTAAATTATCACCCACTGGATGAAGAGAGGTTTGAAAAAGCGATATTAAATGTCCATCTTTAACTTCATATAGAAAAAAACGAAGAGGATAGATTTTTTCCAAATGCCTACAAACTCTACTATTAAATTAGGATGAATAATAAAAATATGACAAATATGGCCAGTGAATATCGACTTGTTTATATCGGACTAAACGCATTCGAGAATATAAGTTAATGCAAAATTTTACAGCTTTAACTGGATAAAAAATGAAGCTAAGCACTTATATTTAAAAATTAAACATAAGGTGAGATGAAATCTTATTCTCTAAAGAAAAATAGGACGATTTATATTGTGCCAGATATTTTATTACGAGGTAATAACCATTTCCATTAGCGCCCCATCATATAATTATAATATGACCATTTCGTACAATATTTCGAAATCCTGTTTAAAATACAAAAATAAGCCAAAATAAATTGTCATTAATTTGCAAATACTTCATAAATACAAATCTAATCATGCAAAAACTACAGAATTGTTTAAAAACTCTAACTTATAATCGTTGAAATCAATAAGTAAAATATTATCTATAAAACAGTAAAGTATGAGATGGATTGTGGAAATATGATATAGTTAAAGACAGAAAGTGAACTTAAAATTAGCTGTCCTACTGGATTTCGTTTGATTTCCAGTACTTGCGTTTTTATTCGTTGCTTATGAACCTATCAATTGCTAGAAATCTTGAATGTGTGCTACAGAAAATCGATGCAGCGTTCGCTAAGGTATTCTATAATTTTTATAACTGCATTTATAAAAGGTTGAAAATACGGGCCAACCGCGTCCCAAATTAATTGCTGTTTCTAAAACTAAACCTTCGAGATATGTCATTGAAGCTTATAACGCCGGACAAAAAGTGTTCGGAGAAAATTACGTAATTTCCCATTTAAGCGTAATAGTTTAGGTTCAAGAACTAGTTGAAAAAAGTCATAATGAAGAGGTTAGAAAATTTATGTTCTCTAGTTTGTAGCTTAAGGTGTCATGCCCGGATATCAAATGGCATTTCATTGGCAGGTTACAGTCAAATAAAATCAAGATGCTCACGTGTAAATTTAGCATTTATTGATTTGTTAGCTGTTCCCAATTTGGCTATGGTAGAAACTGTATCTAATCTAAAGATCGCTCATTTACTTGACTCTGCTTGGGAAAAGGTATCAACTGAACCTCTGGATATTCTTATTCAAGTTAACATAAGTGGAGAGGAGCGTTAGTGGAGCTTTTTATGATTTATTATGATTTTAGAGAAAGGAGGTGTTCCAGTTTCTGAAGTTGTCGGACTTTTCAAATCCGTTTCCGAAAGCTGTCCACATCTGAAACCCTGTGGTTTAATGATGATTGGAAAGTATGACTATGATCAAAGTTTGGGTCCAAATCCTGAATTTCAACGTCTTTATGATTGTCGAGATAAACTATGCGAAACTCTGGGTCTTTCAAAGCACTCTCTCCATCTAAGCATGGGAATGTCATCCGACTATGAAATGGCCGTAATTTCAATTACGTTTGCTCTAAACCGTCCTCCTTTTAGATAACAATGGGCAGCACATTAGTTCGAGTTGGCTCTAATATTTTTGGATCTCGTGAATAAATTTTGATACCTTGTCTTTCACTTCACTTCTCTGACCTGATCTGCTTGACTGCTTTTATTATGGTTTGAAATTTCCCTCCCTTTTTAGTAATGCCAATAGAAAGTAAATTACCCATCGGCTCTGACGGAAAACCTCTCAAACCTTGTTGTGCTTGTCCAGAAACTCGAAAAGCTCGCGACGAATGCATTATTTCTAACGGTGAAGAAAAATGTCGGGATTTGATTGAGGCCCATTTAAAGTGTCTCCGTGACTTAGGGTTCAAAATCTAGTGTACATTTTATTACTTTTTGATTAGTATAGTAAACCTATCTGAACGAATGTCTTGTTTTTTTATGCAATTGACTGCTTATTACTGGTAATTATATCGCTACTTTTGTCGAACCTTTAGCAATGGAAGTAGAAAAGAGAGGACCTCGTTTCAGAATTATTGGCTCTTTGATGCCAAGACTTCAGGGAAGAGAAGTGTGTCTTTTGGGAAAGGCTGTCTCTGTTGATGCTTCCGGTCAAAAATTGACAATGCAGACTGCTGATGGTGTGAATGTCATTTGTCAACTACCGTCACCTCTTCAGGCAAGTTGTTCTCCTCCCTCATGATTAATTCGTAGATGCATGCGATGATGTCTAATTTTAATTTCCTTGTTATAATGGTCTCACAGAAAGCGGTTTGTGCTCATTTGTTGTACGATTGTCCGTTGTGTCAGATGACAGGTTATAAACCAATTTGTGAAATTCATAAATTAGAGTGGTTGATCCTTTAGATATTTCAACTAGGAGAAGAAAAATGGTTAGTATTCACTTTCATTGAGTCAAACACTCGTTTGTGCAAATCCGGGGGTGTGAGTATCCAGTTAGATAGACTATTTCCGTCAAATAGAGAGATGGTTGAACCGAAGTTTCTCATAAGAACGGTGTCAGAATGACTTAATCTTCTCAAGTTAATTGTTGATAATTTTCTTAATTGACTTTGGAAGATATTCTTAGGACAAAAATCAAAGTTCGATCTTTTAAACTAAGTCCGACGAATGATTTGCTGAGAGGATGTAACTAAATATCAATTTTGGAACCCGGTTAATCTTAGTCATTAATTTACCAATGGTTTAAAACCTACGTTGTCTGAAGAAGTGAAATTAATTACTTTCAAACGGTTTCATTTAAGTTTTCATTGTGGAAAATCTGAGAAGGTCCAAATTAATGCCATGATTTCCATACCTAAAAAGTATATTTAGGAGATTAATGTATTTATCACGTTCATGTTGAACCATTTCAATTACTTCTGTTGTTTCCTCCTTTTCGATTTTGAGTTTCGCTTGGTTTGAAACATCTTTAAATCCATTGTTTTTAAGCTCATTTTCTCCTACAGACTGAAAGAATATTATTTTCAAATGGCAATTTTTTCTCTTAGGTTTCTCCTGACTCCTGCATCGTAGAAGTTCAAGGGACCATCACTAAAGCCAATGAGATTCACACTACTGCCGAACCAATAATCTTCTCCCGTGAGACTAGCGCCAGTTTTGACTTGGAGCGCTACGCCTATGCGGTTAACATGACGGTCACTTTTGATGGACTCTATATGCAGTCCCCGGAGGAGTAATAACCTCTCTAACCTCTCTCCTACCATCATCATCATCATGAATTTATTGTCAAGCTAATCCAATAAAATGTCTATTTTTGTATCGAATTTGTTAATTAAATAAATGTTTGCTTTTATAAACTACAAATTGAACGTTCTTATTGGTTTGCATGGGAATGCCTACATTATATATTCATTGAATGAATTCATTGGATTGGCACAACGGAGTTGTGTTTTTGACAAATTAAATTAGCCTACGTACGTCAGTTGCACTGTTTGCTTTTTCATGCTTCAAGTTGTCATGCAAATCTCGATCTTTACATATTCTTAAGGTGGTTTCGTGTTTTGCTTTGGTGCAGGTATGCCACGGAGAAATTAAACCACTGTCTGCCAACTGTCTTTGGTTGTGAAACTATGCCATTTTCTTCGAATGGTAAGTCCCAATTCATTTACTTTTTTTGTATTGATTTTATTTTAATAAAGTTTTTTATGCCTATTTTTTTTGCGTACTTGAGACTGCTTTTGGATTTATTGCAGACTGTATGGAATATGTTTTTATTGTGAGAGACAGAAAAGTAAACAATTTTGAACATTCACCATTGTCTTTGTAAAAGATCATACTGTCGAAAAGTTCTTTCATTAAGGTTTCTGGCTAAAAGTGGAGAACACTTCTAAAGACTGGTCATTGACGTTTCTTGTTAATTTTTATAGGCGCTCAATTTCAATTAAATTAAACTTGATTAGGATAATTCCTTTACAATACAGTCATTACTTGGTTGCAAAGGAAATATTTTTTGTTTTAGGTTCGAAACGTTCAACTTTTAAATTTATTTTTCACTTTATTTGCTATGATATTGACTGATTGCCATCTCTCTGTTCAACTTCCATCTTAGCGCTTAGTATTCTTGAGCAATTCTTCGTTAGTGAAGTCAAACTTCTTTTATTGGGAATAATTTGCTAGTTAATGGTTTTGCAAATCTGTCCCATGTCGTTGAACTTTCAGATTTGATACAAGGAAGTTCGCTTCATGTTTTTTTTCTAGGAGTTCAAAATCATTTTTTTGCTATTCAGATTTAATATTTACTGAGGAGCGCAGGATATGGGATGATCCTTCTTTTAAGTACCATCCTCATTTTTTTCGCGTTAACTTTAAAGATTCCTTTAGTTGGAGTTCTATTCCATAGACGTATTTATTAAATGGATTGAAAGATGCCGTGATTATAACCTTTGATTTAACTGAGGTACACTTTGACTGCTTCTGTACTTATTCTGGTTTGTACTTTATGTACAATTGAGCAGCAAGGATGCGTATGTAATTGTTTATATCAGAAATTTCATAGTGATAAGGTATTGTCTCTCTCTCTCTCTCTCTCTCTCTCTCTCTCTCTCTCCGAACTGCGCTTCCTTCCATCAAATGTTTTTTTCGTCTCATGCGACTTTCCTTCTTACTAGGGGCTAATGTTTGTTAGGCTGAAATCATTCACTATGATTGTCTCTTTCACCGTAATCCAACAAAAAGCGTACGACAATTAGAAATAATCGAATGGGGGTGCGAATAACTTGTGAAGAATGTGTCGGATGGGAAGTATGCACACTGGTTCATCGTGCTTGCTTGCTATTTATGGAGCTCCCAAATATTCGGTTACTTATGGATAAATTGCTTCAGATGTGGAAATTATGTTTATCACACGCATCTAGATATGCCTCATTTGTTAATCTGAATTCATAACCAAGAAGATAATTGAATGACTTTTTTTAATTAGAGATTCCATAATTTCCCTCCTCTTATCAATTCAATATACGATGGAAAGACCGCAAGTCCTAATTATTTCTTCCTCGAAATGGCTTGAACTTAAAACTATAACCTTTGCTAGGGATTCGGTAGGCAGCCATCACAGGCAGGACAAAAATGTTTCACCCTGGGTGTCCCTTCTACTGTAATTTGCAAGTTTTATGCCGGAAGCGTAGAAAATTGAAAAAAAAGAGATTATAATGCATTATTGACAATTTACTGGGCTCAAATAATACCTTAATACGCAGTGTTGGCCAAGTTATCAAAAATATTTATACCAAATGGCAGGCGTTTTGATGGTTATCATTAGCCCTTTAATTGACTTCAGGCTTCACAGAGGGAAGGTGGAACATCAGAGTGAAAAAAGGTTGAGAGGGAAAGAACAGAAGAGTGTTTCAAAGACGAAGGTAGAAAAGCTAGAAAAAAAGGTGAGGTGAGTACTGTGGAAGATGTCGAATCTGACATAGAGTGGGGTGATGGTAGTTTGAAGTCAGAAGTCAAATGCCGGTTTATAGATTTTTTTGCCGTATGAGTATACGTTGCCCAGGGTGCACCACGTGGAGGTAAGTCCACCGAACACCCCTATATCCAGAGATTGGCAGCCACTTCATCATCCTGAATGGTTATTCTCATGCCAGTTCAAAACGTTTTTTTCTCTTCATGTAACGCGATTTAAAAATATTGAAGTGTGATTAGTTATTGTAGGCGTTGTGTGCTTTATTTATATCACTTTCTTTTTAAATTTGTAGTGGCTCGCATAATATCTCTCTCCGTCCTATGGGGGTGAGTTTTAAGTATCCTTCTACTCTTTATTAAATTAAATATTTAATTAGTTTAAATTACTTATTATTAATTGCATATTTAAATCGAACTTGACAGGAAGGAACTAAATCGCAACCTATCTTTTCAGAAGACTTTGAAAAAGAAATTTAATTTTTTTGATGTAGAAATAACTTCCTTGCTCTAGTACTTTTTGCACTTGAATTGGGCAGTGGGTTGGTATCTCTTCAGATCAGAGTTAACCCTTTAACGCCCCCAAAAGGAGTGTACGCGGTCCTCTTTCAAAATAAGCTCCATCGGTACTAGACTTGTAACAGAAGGTGCTGTTGCCGCTTGAAACATATTAAATACGTCAATGGCCTTCGCCTGATGCCACTAAAACCCGTCAGGTCGACATCAGTCTGCTGTGAGACATGCGTGCGAGTGCTGTTGGATGAATTTTTTTCAAGAAAAAAATAATTCGGGCTTTAAAAGGTTAACCAAGGCAGTTGGCTATCCTTGTCATTCAATGCGCACCAGTGTAAATTGTGATCTCGTGAACTCTGCCGTGGTAGGCGCGAATGGTGGTCACTCTGTGGCGCAGACCGTTACTACCGCCATGTAAAAACCCCAGGGGGATGTGGGGTTATGATGCCGATTGGTGCCATTGCCTCAGCTTTATTTTCAAACGGATATTATGACTGATTTAATATATGCGAGCCAATCATGTTGAAGATATCTTATTGGTTATAGAAACTGCTTGTCATTCATTCACATATCTATCACATCTAGCTTCAGTTTAAGGGAACGATATATTCTAAAAAGTAAACTTTTTGCTCTTTCCGTCTTATTACACTTGGATCTCTATTTTTTCCTTTAATCATAGAATTCATGTTTACGTTTCTATCTTCCTGAGTTTTGAACTTTGATTTCCTAAGTTATGATATCGTTTTGAATATTTTAAATGGGTAAAGGTGGGTAAATTCCTTTCGATGACATCAATTTTCAAGTAATATTACCGGTGAAAAAAGTGATGTTGCGTCTTTTTAGTGTTTCGAAGTATTGTTATGCCTAATTCACAACTTGCTCTTGCTTACTCTCTTCAAATCCCGGATTTATTATTTTTCTCAAGTTTCTAGATTCTGAGATTGGAGTATTAGGTACAATTTTGATACTTTCAGAGAATACCAGTGTTTTTTTTGCCAACATTTAATAATGACTACTTAATAAGAGGAAAGTTTCAAAGGGAGTCTTTTATTTATATCAAATGGGGCAGGCGTTTTGTTAGCTACCATTAGCCCTTTAGTTGACTTCGGGCTTCACAGAGAGGAGGGAACATCAACAAAAAAGTCGAGAGGTGGAAGGAACAGAAGATTGATTCACAGATGTAAAATAGACAAACAAACACAGAGGTAGGGAAAAGGTGAGATTAGTACTGTGTAGTGGGTTGAATATGACAAATAGTCGGGCCATAGTAGTTTGAAGTCAGAAGTCAACTGGCGATCAATAGACTTTTTTGCCGTATAATCTGTGGATGGGGCCGAATATGACAAATAGTCGGGCCATAGTAGTTTGAAGTCAGAAGTCAACGTTGCCCAGTTTGCACCACGTGGAGGTAAGTCTATTGCGCACCCCCATGAGGGAGAAATAAATGCTTACAAACTGGCAGTCTAGGAATGAGATCGAAGTAAATCATGATCGGCTATTGTTTTTAGCTTTGGGCCCGATGATCGAAGTTGCTCCTTCATCGGCTAACTGAGTACTAACTTCAAATAAGAATGAAAAAAATGGAGCTTGCAGATATATACATGATTTTTTTTCTTCAACGAAGCAAACAACTTCTAACTCTAATCTACGTCTGTCATTATTATTAGGTGGGCAACTAAGTCATTGCCGATTTCAAATAAGAAGGCAAATTCGGAATTTTTGTTTAAAAATATAACTTTATTCAAATAGATATTGGCCGTTCTTGTCGACGACCTTTTTCCATCGTTCTGGCAGAGTAAAAATTCCCCGTTCGTAAAATGTCTGTCTTTGCTATTAAAAAACTTATCTTCAATTGCATCCTTCAGTTTTTCGAGTTGTTCAACATACACATTTGAATTTATCGTTTGGTTCTGCGGCATGAGTTCAAAATACAAAATTCCTTTGTGATCCCCCCACCAGACTGACAGCATAATCTTTTTTTGGTGAATCTCTGCTTTTGATACTGTTTGGGCTGGTTGATCTTGCTTCACCCATGGTCTCTTGCGAGTGACATTGTTATAAACTATCCACTTTCTGTCGCCAGTAACTAGGTTCTTCCTCGGAAATGGATCATTCTCATTGCGTTTCAGTAGCGGCGAATCACAGATGCTAATCCGTTGCGTCAAATGAATTTCCTTTAACTGGTGAGGGATCCATAAATCAAGTTCCTTGACATAACCAAGGGTTTTTAATTTGTTTTCAATGCATGTATGCGACACATTGA